GTATAATAGATTTAATATTTAATGTAAAATATTTAATCATATATTTAGGATTTTGAAGATGTGGATAAGTAGGGAAAAAAAGAAACACATTGTGTTTTGAGAGTGTTTTCCAGATTTTTTCTTTTGCCCAAACATGAAAATTGTGAATTACTACTTTCAGAGCTAGTTGAATAATAATAAATAAATAAATAAATAAAAAATGTTTGTCTTTCTGTGTAAGAGTGATAAAATGTGTTAAGTCAAAAACAGACTGCCATCTCTTTTCCAACCAAATATCTGTCCCCCTGCTGTCCATTTAAGAAAATGCAACAAAAATTTTAGCTATGTATGTTTATTGTGCAACTTTATTGGTCTATTGAGTGACTTCAAATTAGTTAAACATCCCAGTGGCTTTCAAACCCCAAAATACATCACGACAAAGATTGGTTCACCCCTAAGACCCACTCCCCCAGTACAAATAGAGTAATGTGTATGCTGTTAAATATCAGGAGGGCTGTGATCAGTTATACATTGAGGAAACAAAGCAGCCACTGTTCAAAGGAATGGACCAGCACAGAAGAGCTACATCATCAGGTCAGGACTCTGCAGTTTACACTCATCCACGTCAGCGGTCACTCTTTCAGGGATGAAAGAGAAACCGCTGACAGAGAGGAACATTGGTTTGAGAGAGGAGTAAAGGAAGACATTTTTGTGAAGAAAAAACGTCCACCACTAAACAGAGGTGCAGGCCTTTGTGTCCAGTTGTCCCCTCCTACAGTGCTGTTTTTGCAAGTATGACTCAGCCCCCTATGAGCAACAGGTGTGATTCAGAGCCCCAGTGATAGTCAGGTGATGGACCTGACCCTTGAACAATAGAGCTAATCAAGGCACTAATGACCAATAATTAGGCTGATAGCCCTCTTTTGTATGTGACCAACCTGTGGAGGCAGTGCTTATAAGGCTGAATTCACCTGAAATTCCTCAGACTGAAGAAGTCTCTTGGAGAAGAGATGAAACGTTTTATTAAAGAAGAACCCATACAGAGGACCTACCTGTTCTTATTGTTTTTCTTTTTGATTTTTTAATGGGGCTTTTTTCCATTTTCACCCTGAAATTGGTTAATTTGTACAAATCATTTTATCTTTGAGTGATGATGTGAGCTACTTGTTAAACTTTTTTATGTTAATGCCTACAATTTGAAGGAAATTCTGTTGACTTGTCTTTGGAAGAATGTCTTGGTTGTTGTAAGGCTTCTTGAGACAAATCCATGAAGATTTAYCTAATTCTGTCCTGTCTGCCATCAGTCCACTGTGCCTGAATGAACTTAAGCCAGTGACAAAGTGAGAGCTTCTGTTTATGGGACATTGGTTTTAATAATTGGCCAACCTTGTACTGGTTTGAAAAATGAAGTTGAGCATAGCCTCCTGCTTTGCTGCCTTGTCATTTTGTTAAAAGCCTCATTAGATTGAAACAGCATTATGTTAGCAAGCTTGTCAATTCATTACAAATCACATCTTCATGCCACAACATGCTAGAACAGTTAGCAAATATTGTTTTTCCTTCAAAGGAGAATGCTTTTAATTCTACAAATGTTAAATAACAGTTTATTTATTTATTTATTTATTTATTTATTTATTTATTTATTTATTTATTATTCTAAGAAATGAAATGTTGAATTTACTTAAACAAGATATTCTATTTGGTTCCACTAATCCAAGAAGAATAAATTGAGCCATTTTCTTCAAGAAAATGGTAAATTAAACACCAATTAGGTAAATTCAACACCTCATTACTTAGTGTATGTAAATACTTTTACTTTTCCGATTAATGACTACTTTTCATATCAATTAAATGAAGTTTTACTGAAGTCATTTTCTATTAAGCTATTACTTAAGACTTTTTAAAATACTAAATAGACTTTAACTATTTTGATTTTGACTAAGTGAAAATACCATACACACCAGATCTTGTCTATACTGATCAGGTTGGGCCTGGTTAGTTTGAATGGGACACTGCCTGGGAATACCAGGTGCCTTAAAACCAGTGTAGAAGTTATACCCACATTGAAACATTTTCAATAGAAAAACTTTTGACCATAATAGATCATAATTTGCCTTCTATGAAGGATGACTAGGAGAGAAATGCCCAATGATAGTCAGAGCAACTCATACAAAATTAGTTGAGGCAAAAATCCCACTTTGAACTTGTGTAAAGTGCTGATATTCACTTATTACATAAAGACCTTCCTGTTTACTGAGTGACTCCTGTTATTTTTTTCTGGCCTCAGTCAGCAGACAGTCAGTCTGAGAAGCTGATGATGCAATCTTGTCTCATTTGTGCTGCTGTCAGTGATCACCCCGAGGTGTCTCTGCTGAAGGGTCAGACATCAGCTTCATCTCTGAGCTCTGAGGAGGTGCTGAAAGCACAGAGACCAGCTGTACAATGTTTTTCTCTTATGTTGGCAGCTCAGAGTACACTTCTTCAATTTTAATGTGATAAATACTGATGCATCTAAAGCAGTGGTTCCCAACACATTTTCCTCAAAGCCCACCTTTTAAAGTCAAGCTGGAAGGGTGGGCTCGCAGGTTGGAAATAGAGGAAGGACTGTACTTTTTATTTAACAATATTTTTTTTAGATAATTAGGTTTTATTAGTCACTTTCCACACTGAATACATAC